AACATAAGGTACTATCAATTCTCTATGAATACTATTTTCTTTATAAAAAAAATTAAACTCATTAGATAAAAAATTATTATCTCTATCTCAAATGTCTTTATGTATCTACCACTTTACCTTTCTACAAGTGCATTGAATTTTTAAAAATTATCAAATATTTTAGATTTCAGTTCTAGAAAATATATCGAACTCATGCGACTATAATCATTATTAAATAATAAAAAATATTGACTTTAACCAAATAATTTTGTATTCATAGGTCCACATAAGTTAGCATGAATTAATTCAAAACAATTAGATGCTCTTCATATTTTTCCCACAAGAAATTATTTTTTATTTTATTTACCATAAATACATTCTTTGTATACATTAAGTGTATTAATTTTACGTAATCCAAAAATTATTATTTTTATTTAATAACCTTAAACTCTAAATGTTAAGGTATTCATATTTTAAATGTCATAAATTAGACTCATTCTTTTGAGTTGCTATAAGAGCATACTTTTCAATATTTGAAACATCAAGTGGAAATATCTTGTTTTGCGTCATGCAAACATTTACTGTAGCTAAACCAGATTTTTTTTTATCTTTAATAGTGCATGAACCATCATCAAATATAATTAAATATTCATCATCTATCAATTGTCCAATACTCAATAAGATATGTAATAAACTAGGAACCAAGAAAATATTATTAAGGTGTTTTACCTTCCTTTGACTTGTCTTCACCTCAATTGTTCTTTTTCCTTTCACTTGGATTTGCTTATTATCTCAGAGTCTAACTTTTAATTTATGAGTTTTATTAATATATCTAAATATTGATCTTATTCTTGACATATGATTAGAATATTCATTATCCAAAAATCAAATATCATTTGAGATATCATTAACTTGTGAATTAGTTATAAATAACTTACTATTTTCTTCAATTTTTTTCCACAAAGCTTATTTGTTTTTTTCTTTTCCAGCAATCTATCTTCGTGTGACCAATTTTTTTATAATAGTGATATTGAATTCCACTTTTATAGTTTTTTTTTATCATAATTTGATTGATTTTGTTCATTATGCCCATTAAAGTGTTCTCTTCCTCTTTCTCTTTCATTTCCTCTGCTATTAAATCCTCCTTTGTCACGCCATCTACTTATTGATTTTTTGCCTTCTTTTTCTCCCTTAACCTAAAATGCTTTTTTTTCACTTTTCTCAATTGACTTGTTCAGTCTTGCTTCATGTGCTTAAAAAGAATCTATTAGTTCATCAAATGAAAATATAGATAATTTTTTTGACTCATCGATTGCGGCAACAACATGATTAAATTTCAAAATTAAACTTCTCAAAACTTTTGTAATAATTATATGATCAGGAAGAAGTTCGCCATAATATTTCATTTGACTAATAATTTCAATCACTCGAGAAAAAAATTTTGTATCGATTCATTATTTTTCATGAATAAAATTTAAAACTCACGATGAAGGGTCTGAAGTTTTACCATAATCACCCTTGATGAGCCTTGAAATTCATTTTGAAATATCAACCAAACTTATTTTAAGGTTGTCGCTGTTACAATTCTTGAGAAAATTGTCTTATGTACAACTTGTTGAATGAAGAACAATGTCTTTGAGTCATTCTTTCTATTTTTCTTCAACTTGGTTTCTTCATCTGGATCTACATATCCATTCTCTATTAAGTCCCAAAGATCTTGAGACTTGAATAGAGTCTTCATCTTGATACTCCAAAATTCATAGTATTTGTCCGAAAAGATGAAAATACAAGGTTACAACATGGAATTATCATTGAAAGCCATAATGCCCAGTTCATATTGAAACTTAGCTCTGATACCACAAATGTTAAGGATGAAATAGTAAGGAAACGATAAAAAATAGAATACTATGATGTAATTAAAAAAATTCTTTCAATCCAGAAAATCGATATAGTATTTAAACAAGAGATGAGACATAGAATACTTATAAGATATTTCCAAGTGCACATACACTATCTTGTTTCATGAACTATGATCATATTTATAGGATCTAGTGGTAACTACCTCACTCCATCATGTCACCCATGATTAAGTTACGTATAGGAACTATCTTATAATGTCACCCATGATTAAGGATGGAATAGCAAAGAAACGATAAAAAATAGAATACTATGATGCAATTAAAAAAAATACTTTCAATCTAGAAAATCGATATAGTATTTAAACAAGAGATAAAACATAGAACACTTATAAGATATTTCCAAGTGCACATATACTATCTTGTTTCATGAACTATGATCATATTTATAGGATCTAGTGATAACTATCTCACTCCATTATGTCACCCATGATTAAGTTACGTATAGGAACTATCTTATAATGTCACCCATGATTAAGTTATGTATAAGAACTATCTTATAACTTTTAGATCATAGATCATTATTTAAAATATAATAATTATATAAAATATGATAACTATCTACGTATAACTATCATAACTCAGCAGGGCGCATGAGAAAGGAACATCCAATCTGGCAGCAGGTTTACTAAACTTTGTCGGAGTAGGAGCAGAATATAGGGTGGTGGCGTTGGGTGTGGGAGAGAGGTGATGTGAAGTGGAGGATTCATGGTACACTCAGTCATCCCATCAAGAGGGCCACATCCGTCAGGCAGTGGTTCTACCTTTAGTGAACATAAGATATGTCACCCAACTTTGTCAGCGCCAGCAGTATCTTCTTCCTCAGACCGGAGAGTACCGCTGCCATGCCATGTTTTCGCTTCTCCACGAGGTCGAGGATCCACCGCTTCCTTATCCTTGCCTCACATGTCGAGCATCCATATGTGCTTGCCAGAAGACCGTGAGGTGTCGCTCCCAGATGCCCAAACTAGTAGTGGGCTTTTTGCCATTATTTTGCAGGACCATCATCAGTCACCATGACCGCCTCCTCTCTTCCAACACCATACTTGCGATGCCAGTAAATGGAGTTACGGGGACAGCCGTAAACCACGGAGAAAGGGACTCCTCCCGTGCGTCGTTGATGCTTCTGCTCCAATGACTTCGTTCCCACTCAATACTGCATGGCCCACACGCCCATGGATGCTCTCGCAATTTGACTCGAGGGCATCTCTTTCGCCATGGATGCTCTCATCCCTGCACGAAAGAGGCAAGAAAACGAGAGCGCACTGAAAGACAAGGCTTGCAGGATGCTTTTTAGATTACCATTTCCGCTTCAACAAGGTCGAGCCGTGCACTCCATCCACATTACCCCCCACTGCTTGTCCACACACACTCTCATGGACGACGACCCTTCCATCCTGTCTCATGACATTGATGTAATTTTTATTTATTATTTATCATTATAAACTATATATATATATTCTGAAATAGACTAAGTATCACCGGGCGACGAGACGAGGAAGAAATGGAAGGAATCGGCGAACCCATGTCTCCAGATAGACCGACCTGCCGGCCCATGTTAATATAGCTGGGCCGGATGAACTAATGTGATCCAACCCACCAACCGTAATCTAATCGATCGATGGTTGACTTTTGGAAGGTTGAAACGCGTCGGTTATATCCAGAATGGATTACGTTACATGCAACACTTTATTTCTCTTTACAGTTGAAGCAGCAGTTGGTCCTCACTCTTCCTTCTTCGTTTCCTCTGTCTCAGAAGATAAACTCTTCTCGTAGATGAACTGAGCGACTAAGCCCGCAAATATCAAGCCCAGCGCAGCGACTTTTCGCCATTCCACCTCCGGAGTGACGACGACAGCGTTGGCAATGGTGAAGCCCAGCACGGTCATCAGCGCAAGGTATATGTTGCTTCGCACCTTCAAACCTGCGTTTCTCCTCGTGGCTTCCTCCAGCTTTTGCGCTTCCATCTTGGCTTTCATCTTCGCTCCCGCTTCCTTGTCTTTGGGTGCAGGTCGTTTCTCCTTCAGGTTCTTGAAGAACAAGCCCTCGTTCCGGTCCCTCTCGATTTGGTCTTCGAACTCCTCCAACACCCGGTCGTTCTTCTCGATCTCCTGCCTGTTCACCTCCGCGGCTTCCTCGAACGCCTGCGCCCGGTTCTCCAGCTTCTCCATGATCTGTACATGCGAAGAGCAGGTGTTATTTCCCGAAGTGGTCGCCAAGGCTTGAGAGAGAGAGAGAGAGAGAGAGACCCTGGCGCTGGCTTCGTCGAGCTCTTTGAGTGCGTTCTCCCCTATCTGGTCGAACTCGGCGTTGGCGTCCTCCGCGAACTGGGTGAGGAACGCGGACCGCTCGTCGAGGAAGTCGGTGAGGCGGACTTTTTGGGCCTGCAGCATGGCGATCCGGGCGAGCAGTTCCTGCTTTCGCTTGTCGCCTTCGGACGGGGAAGAGGAATCGGCACGGCCGGCGTCGTTGGAGCTGCAGAAACTGGAGACCGATCTCCGCCTGTTGCGTGACGTCTTCCTCTGGGCAGGAGATGGGTTTGGGCGATGGAGGGATGGTTGGATCGCCTTGAGGATACTCATGATCTCTCAATACAATCTCGATCGGGTTTCTGGGATTGTCCGCCTCCCGTTTCGGCTCAGGAAACAATATCTACTGTATTATTTGGGAAAGTCCACGAATTAAGATGACCGTTTTACCCCCTTCTCCTAACATGGTTTATCCTTCATCAAGAGCATTATCGCATCCAAGCCGTCCATTGATGATATGTCTATGGAGCAATCAACCGTCCATCCGAGTTTGATGGTAACTTCGTTATTTTTGCAACTAAGATTCGCGATGGCATAGGAATATTTCTAGGGAATATATAGGGGTAATATGGGACATTTTCCCTTCCATTGGATATATTGATCAAATTAAACCTGTCTAATTTTGCGCCCGAATTTATTGTGAATAGAACCGTCTGATTTGGTTTCTGATGTATGAAGCGCGTCCTCTTTGCTCCGGCCTCCATCCGTCCCGGCCAATCCATCCCCCATCGAATGGACTCCCCGCGGCGTCCCCTCCTCCGTCATCGACGAGCACCTCGAGAACGTCTTCCGGCGTGGGTGAGTGTCTCATGTTTTCCATTACTACCGTTGCTTCTCCTGTGTTGCACACCAACTGCTTGCTCTTTTGTCTGAACAACCTTGATGTTAACCTTAGGGTGTAGCTGCTTGTGTTGGCTCAACTTAGCAATCGGTCATTCTCCTAGAAAGGACTTCCGATTTACCAAGCTAGATATTTTTTCTGCACAGTGGGTGCTTGTTGTTGTGCCTCCTGCCATAATTACCTCTTGTCTTGATGCTTCAAACTACACCATCATTGCCACCATAAACTCCTATTGCACCTTCTCACACAATTCTTAGGATTTATTGGATGCCTATTTCCCTGGCACTATGAACTCCTATTGCACCGACTGTAGATGTTGCTCTTGTTAATTTGGTGTTCGAGGACACAACTTTATGCCGTGGTTCTTTTGATGGTTGGTGAGCCAACTTTTGTGTTAGCTGCTCATAGTGCTTGACCAGTGAGACACCGCCCGTGCTCTACTTGTGCTTCTTTTGCGATCGTTCGCAAGAACAAATGCAAGCAATGCGTTTTATGCATCATAATGGAAGAAAAATGTTGGCTCAACATCTACAGTCCTGCTACTCCCTCTTACCTATCAACAAGCCAGCAGTTTAGCTGCATTTTCCTACCTCTTCATGTCTCTATATCTCTCTCCACTGTCAGGTCCTCAACAACATATTTGCTGCTTTGTCTTACATCTTCTCTTGATTCTTGCTCGCAGTGCTTTGGCTGTAGAATTTTGCATGCAGGACATTGATAAGTGACTTAATTTTAGTTCTTATTTTACTTTGTTGGTTTTCTTCTCACCAGTCTTGTGTTTTAGGTGTTGTCTTTGTTCTGCATTTACTCTCAATATGGCTACTTTGTTATATGTTTCATTAATGCATGTTCTCAATCATGTGAAGAACATAAATGCAACTTGTTCCTAGAAGAATTCGTCTGGTTTATGAATATTGGATGGTAAAGACTGGTCCATGAGTGTAAATAGCGGAGTTAATACTATGGTTTCAACTCCGGTAATCGAATTCCTCGTTCATTGAGTTACTTCTTTTTCTCGTCCAAATTTGTCCTTAGATCATCCTTACAAATATTTTGTATGTTTGTAAGTCTCGATACTGATTCCATCAACATAATATAAGAGCATAGACTTCCTTACAAGAGCCAAACTCCCCCAGCAAGGAAGAGGACCAACTTAAAGACAGAAGAATCATCATAGGTAGAAATCGGAGATAGAAATGCATCAGTAGCTGCAACCTTTATCTTTGCGGCGAGACTGGCAATGGAGGTCACGCGTTCTGGGCCTTCTCCTTGGTCTCCTCCTTCTTGGAGGGCACTCGGCCATCGGTCCCGGCGAGCAGCACGTACTTGTCCTTCCTGGTGAAGTTGGTGCCCTGGAAGCCCAGCGTGATCGCCAGCACACGCTGTATGTAATTGGCGACCTCGATGGGCGACTTCCCACCGGCGCAGGTGAGCTCCTTGGGCAGCTGGTTGAGGAAGGTGATCTCGTAGGTGGGCCGCGGGTTCATGAAGAAGAAGTAGGGGTCGAAGAGCTTCCACCCCCTGGCGGTCGTCCCGTGGAACATGCTCTGCTTGGTGTTGATGGCCACGGGGACGATCCGGTCCGTGAGCTCCGCGAACATGGCGCTGAACCTGAGGAGGAAGGGCTCCCGGCAGGTGGTGCCCTCGGGGCAGATCACCAGGTCGCCTTCCTCCAGTAGGCGTTTGATGTGCGCCGCGTCCTTGTCCCTCTCCCGCGACAGCGCCACGGCGTTGATGGGGGAGATGAGCTCGGAGAACTTGCTGATGCTGTAGGTGACGCAGCTGATCTTGCGGCGGAGGGCGACGGCGGTGACGACCGGGTCGAGCACGGTGCGATGGTTGCACACGAAGAGCACGCCGGGGTGGCCCTTCTTGGGTGGCGGCGGGGGCGCGCCCTTCACCACCAGCTTGATGCCCATGATCCTGTAGTTGTGGAACACGATGCGCTCCGGCAGCGGGAGGTTGATGTACACCCTGAGGAGCGAGAGGGCGAAGCCCAAGGGTATCCAGAGGAAGGTGACGAGCGCCACCAGGGGGGTCGGCAGCTGAACCAAGCGGCCGTCGTGGAGAATGACCCGGTTCAGGAGCTGGCTCTTGGGCACCGGGCTCCATTTTGCATGCGGCACAACGTAAGCTTCCTGAAGCCAATCGGAAAGCAGATGCTGTTATCAATGGCTCCCATCCCCATCCGTTTGCACAGGAAAGAGGAAGAAAGAAAGAAGGCGGCGGCATACACCGCAGACCACGATAATTGTAGATATATGTGATGCTCAATTTTGGAGTAGATCAGTTCAGTCACTAGATCCATTGAAGTAGGTCAGTTTTGGGTTCAAACCTTGCAAATGGACATGAAATCGTAGTCAGTCTCTCTGTCGCCGATGCCCACGTCCGGCGAACTCCCTCCAAACTCCTCCTCCACCGCCTTCTTCTTCAGCTGTCCGATGAGCACCCCGGGCTTCTTGAGGAACCCCGTTGCCCTCCCTGACGCGGTCACCTCCAACTCAGTCCCCAGGACCTTGTCGGCCCCGAGGAAGCTCTTGGTGAACGGTTCCACCATGATCCTGGGGTTCGCCGTCACAATGTATCTCCGACCGAACGAACCGAACACCCGCCACGTCTCGGGGTGCACGTCCTCAGCGTAGAACCTGGGCAACACCGAGCGCGCCACCATCTCGATATCCTTCACCCTCAACCTCGCGAAGGCGATGAACACCAGCGCCTGTATGGCCACTGACTCCGAGAAGAAGACGTAGATGGTGTAGACGACGGGGACCGACATGAGGAGGACGAGGCCCCGCAGGAGGCTCCCTGCCTCGATCGCGACGAGCATGAAGTAAGGGAAGGCGCTGCGGGAGATGAGGAGAGTGCCGTCGAGATCAGCCGCCACCGCCTGATGCGACCGTTCTTCCGAGCTACACTTGTCGATGGACTTGAACCTAAGCGACCCCATCTGTGGAGCTGTTGATGGTGGTGGTGGTGGCGGTGGCCACGGAAGGGCAGGATTCACTTGGTTAAATCACCAAGGACTCGAAGGAATATAAATGGGCGTGCAGTGGGTGGCACCGCGAGCTAACTTGAGAAGCTACTTATTCTACTAATTTATGCATGGAGAAGGGACGTTCACAACAGCCAATTGCTTGTGATCGATCGACCTTTGCTTGACCAAGTTTGAAGCCTGGATCGGGTAGATGTCAACGTCAGTCTTCTTGGCTGTCACCACCGCTCTGGTTTTCTACCTCACATTAGCATTCGACTATTAGTAGTATAAGCCGATCCTCCTCCGCAGCATTAACTTGGAGCCACCGAACCCACGAGAATAAGGAAGTAAAAGCAGCAGCAGCAGCGGCATGCAGTCTCCTGCAAGAAGGATTCGTTAGCTGGTGGTAGCGCATTTTTGCGATCGCCATTAATGGAGTGAAGCAATTAGTTGACGGCGTGTTATTATTATCACATGCAGCCTTCCCCATGCCGGTGATCGAACCAGTCATAGCAATGGTAGAGCTTTTTCACGTTGACACACGTCTGATCCATCCTTTTATTGTCCTACCTAGAAAAGTGGACTGTTTTATGCCCACTGATATCCTTCATGGATGCTCAAATCTTTACTCTGATTCATCGTCTGCAGTAAACCATCTTTGACACAGTAGCCCCTCGTCACCTTCGTTAGGCGAGGAAGCTCCAGATACCCTAATCGATGCTCTCAAAAACAAACGGACGAGAAGGGGACGGCAGGTGATGTCCACCTCGTGATGCTCCAAAGTGGCCAACACTTATCCGATCTACTTCACCGTCGATGCAAGCATGGCTTTCGCATGTGTCTCTGCCTAACTTCTCTGCATTAGTGACCTCACACATTGATGAGGCATCTCCAACTCCGACCTCACACGGCATTAAACGGACCTGAAAGAAGAGTCCTTCGACTAAGTGTCACTGTTTTAATTCTACCTATATTACCATGCAAGCAATTAAATGCTACCTATATCTGCATGCTATTGACTGCTCGTCTTGGGTTCTAAACCCAATCACCGAGCCTCGCTTTGAGCGGCACAAACAAGTTCTCATGTGCCCAGTGAACTCATTTCACGGCCACTGGTCCCGCACTTCCTCAGTTCTTAGCTCAGATCGTCGTCTAAGGAGAGGTGACGACACGTTTCTAAGACAATGATTTCTTTCTTTCCGAAGAAGTCTTATTTGAGCTGCGAGTGTATCTGAAAACGATCCTTGGCCGAAATCTAATCGTCTGCAAACTGATTCGAACAAAAGCCTGATTCTGTAAAGAAGAGTTTGCAGACTTCAGAACTCAGTAAGCCGAGTGAGAGCTCCGATTCGCGTTAGGATAAAAGTAAATGAAAAAGCATTCTGATTAAGGAGTCGAAGCATCAAAAGTTGTCCTAATAAAGATGTATTCCCGACCTTCGTACGGGTTTGACTGGGAAAGCCATTCCGAGATATAATCGTGAAGAGTCAGCGAAGACGAACAGAAAAGAAAGCATCGAAAGAATGACTGCAATAAGATGAAAGTACGAATCTTTCTTCCTTCATCGGTTGCAAGTATCGTAGCGGAAAGGCTTTCTATAGCCTTTTCCATGAATCAAATGCTACCACACGGCAGCCTACGTGCAGAGATACCAAGTCAAGCCTCGTCGACGTGCTCGCAACATCCGTCTGCATGTGCATGGGGGACGAGAGACTCGCTCAAAAGTAGAAATAAGGACATGAGTATGAGGGCAACTCGGTGGCCATCGACAACACGTATGTGGCTTTCTCTATCGATTCAATGAACAGGAAATTTTCGACATCTAAATCCCATTTAGCCACTGCACTGCAGTTGGAACGAAGCAGAAACTCTAGGCTTCCTTTCTTTGTGCTCTTGTTTGTCTCTTGCATTGGGAATACAAATTAGCTTGAAATCAGTATCTTTCGTTTGTTTTGACCATTAGCTGGGATGCATTGAAAAAGCTCATGGTTTTGTTATTTGAGTCATCAAACGTTGTTTGTTATTTGAAACTCGTTGATATAAATGAAGTGATTTTTATTTCAGGAATTTTTTGTGCAATTATTACTTGAAGAAGTTAATGGTATCACTCAAATGTTGTGGAAGAGATTTATGTAATCCTCTATTCGGCTTTCAATAGCAACAATAAGAATACAAACTAGCGTAACCTCATGCGTAAGGTAGACGATGGCCAACGAAATGGGTACGATAGTCCATGTGATTTCGCTAGGACCACAAGAATCACTATATTTGAAGAATCACAAAAGATAAGTGATGAAGGTAGGATAAATATGTTCATTTTTTATTTGATGAAAATGCTACGACTTACGTATATATAGAACCACATAATTGTTTAGTCTATTTGTTTTATATATATATATA